AGGGCTATACAGTTAACAGGAGAGAGGAGCTTACGATGATGTTTCGGCCCGATTTGGACCATGTGTGTGTGACTTTGTAAATGGTCCAAGTTAAACCAAAACGTCGTTATAAGCTCCTGTCTCCTGTGTGCGGGTTATTTGTCTAGTGTGATGAGCCTACTACTCTGACATAAGTATTACTTAGAACAACTGCCACAGTATTTCATAACATGGGACAGAAAAATTAGTTTCGTATTGTGATCCATGATTACATTACTGAGTGAGCTTAATATTTATGATGAATTTACCATCTTTGGTGGGTGTGCAGTGTTCACCTAGTACACCCAGAATATTCACTCCTGGAAGGGACGCATTACAGATTGAAGCTACAACCTGGGTCGCTAAGGAGAGATGCAAGGAGGAGCTTGCTGCACCTTCTTCCTTTAGATTTCATCAGACAGTGAGCATGTTAGTCTGGAATGTTTTAAAGTAGTCTGTAGACTATTACAACATGTAAAATAACAAAGTTGTGATTTGACATGCTGTATCAGTGTGAAAGATTTTATGCAGTGGACCCCCAACATTCGATGGCATTGACATTCGATAAATCTGACATTCGATGCATTTTAACGCAAAAATTTCGCCTCGACATTCAATGGAAAACCCGCTATTCGATACGATTCATACGAGACGTGTCCACGTGTGGCCTGAACTGCCCCGTGTGTGCCAGTGTTTACAAGCCAGCCAGTGTGTGCGCATCTAAGGATACATTCGGTACATTCCATATTATCCATATTATCACTGTTTTTGGTGCTTGTTTCTGCAAAATAAGTCACCATGGGCCCCAAGAAAGCTTCTAGTGCCAACTCTGTGGTAAAAAGGGTGAGAATTAGTATGGGAATTAAGAAAGATTTTGAAGGGTTTGGGGCTAACCCTGAGAAGCCTTTGTCAGTTGTGGAATACGTTGTGCCTACTTCAAAAATTAAGGAAATGTGTGCAAAGTGGGTTGAACTGCAAACCTTTATGGATGAAAATCACCCTAACACAGCTATTGCAAGCCGTGCTGATGACTATTACAATGACAATGTTGTGGCCCATTTTAGACAAATCTTAAAGGAACGGCAACAGAGGTCCAGTGACTCTCAAGCTGGTCCTAGTGGCATTAAAAGAAGGGAAGTAACCCCGGAAAAGGACTTGCTACCTCAAGTCCTAATGGAAGGGGATTCCCCTTCTAAACAGTAACAACTTTGACACTCTCCCCTCCTCCCATCCCATCAATCATCACCAGATCTTCATTAAAGGTAAGTGTCAATTATTCTATTGTTATTATTCTATTGTTATTGTAATTATTCTATTGCATTAAACTTAATATTTCATGTGGTAAAATTTTTTTTTCATACTTTTGGGTGTCTTGCACGGATTAATTTGATTTCCATTATTTCTTATGGGGAAAATTAATTTGACTTTCGATATTTTCAATATTTGATGAGCTCTCAGGAACGGATTAATATCGAATGTCGGGGGTCCACTGTATATGTATGAAGGTAATGTTTTTGTGTTTCAAAGCTGAGAAATAGTATACACTGGAAGTTCAGTGGGTTAAAGGTAGGTAGAGAGAGAGTGGGTGAGGGTAAATGGTTTCTTTCAGTCAACTGGCGTAGTCAGTCAGTTTAAAAAATATTATACTAAAGTTCTTTGAAGAAAACATATCCATTATTAATTTTATTATTATTATTATAAGAACATAAGAACATAAGAACGAAGGAACACTGCAGAAGGCCTACTGGCCCATGCGAGGCAGGTCCAAGTCTCCTACCGGCTTAAGCCAATGCACCCAACCTAGTCAGGTCAGGTCACATTGACTTAAGGGAGGAACACGGCAACCGACCTGGTAGCACAAGCTATCAGGTCTAACTCACAACCCACCCACATCCACTCATGTATTTATCCAACCTATTTTTAAAGCTACACAACGTTCTGGCCTCTATAACGGTACTTGGGAGTTTGTTCCACTCATCCACAACTCTATTACCAAACCAGTACTTTCCTATATCCTTCCTGAATCTGAATTTTTCCAACTTAAAACCATTGCTGCGAGTCCTGTCTAGGCTAGATATTTTCAGCACACTATTTACATCCCCTTTATTTATTCCTGTCTTCCATTTATACACCTCAATCATATCCCCCTAATTCTACGTCTTTCTAGAGAGTGCAGATTCAGGGCCGTTAGTCTATCCTCATAGGGAAGGTTTCTGATACATGGGATCAACTTTGTCATCCTCCTTTGTACATTTTCCAGAGAATTTATATCCATTCTGTAATAAGGTGACCAAAACTGTGCAGCATAATCTAAATGAGGCCTAACCAAGGATGTATAGAGTTGAAGAACAACCTGAGGACTCCTATTATTTATGCTTCTTGATATGAAGCCAAGGATTCTATTAGCTTTATTGCGAACACTTATGCACTGTTGTCTTGGTTTCAGATTACTGCTAACCAGAACTCCTAAATCTTTTTCGCAATCCGTAATATTAAGATCTACATTATTTAGTTTATATGTGGCATGGTTATTGTCCTGTCCAACATTTAGAACTTTGCATTTGTCTATATTAAACTGCATCTGCCACTTCTCCGACCACTGCATCAGTCTATTCAATCTTCCTGGAGTGCTCGAATGTCCTGCTCAGAATGAATTCGACGGCCTATTTTGGTGTCATCGGCAAACTTGCCGATGTCGCTCTTTATGCCCTCATCTATGTCGTTTATGTAGATTGTGAACAGCAGGGGGCCCAACACTGACCCCTGTGGAACACCGCTCGTGACACTTCCCCACTCTGATTTCTCCCCATTTATGCAAACTCTCTGCTGCCTATTTGTCAACCATGCCTCTATCCAGGAAAAATTTCTCTCCTATTCCATGTGCTTTAATTTTCCTCAATAGTCTCTGATGTGGGACCCTGTCAAAAGCCTTACTGAAGTCCATATACACAATATCATATTCATTACCATGATCTACCTCCTCAAATACCTTAGTGAAAAAAGTTAATAAATTCGTAAGGCAGGAACGCCCCTTTGTAAAACCATGCTGAGATTCGTTGATTAATTTATGCTTTTCAAGGTGGCTACGAACTGCCTCGGCAATTATTGATTCCATAAATTTTCCCACTATGGAGGTTAGGCTTATTGGTCTATAGTTCGAAGCTAAGGACCTGTCACCTGTTTTGAAAATAGGTATCACATTTGCCATTTTCCACTTATCTGGCACCATGCCAGTTTGTAGTGATATGTTGAAAAGATTAGCCAAAGGTGTGCTAAGCTCCTCTTTACACTGGCCGATTCCCACCAAGGCAGGGTGGCCCGAAAAAGAAAAACTTTCACCATCAGTCACTCCATCACTGTCTTGCCAGAAGGGTGCTTTACACTACAGTTTTTAAACTGCAACATTAACACCCCTCCTTCAGAGTGCAGGCACTGTACTTCCCATCTCCAGGACTCAAGTCCGGCCTGCCGGTTTCCCTGAATCCCTTCATAAATGTTACTTTGCTCACACTCCAACAGCACGTCAAGTATTAAAAACCATTTGTCTCCATTCACTCCTATCAAACATACTCACGCATGCCTGCTGGAAGTCCAAGCCCCTCGCACACAAAACCTCCTTTACCCCCTCCCTCCAACCTTTCCTAGGCCGACCCCTACCCCGCCTTCCTTCCACTTAGACTGATACACTCTTGAAGTCATTCTGTTTTGCTCCATTCTCTCTACATGTCCGAACCACCTCAACAACCCCTCCTCAGCCCTCTGGACAACAGTTTTGGTAATCCCGCACCTCCTCCTAACTTCCAAACTACGAATTCTCTGCATTATATTCACACCACACATTGCCCTCAGACATGACATCTCCACTGCCTCCAGCCTTCTCCTCGCTGCAACATTCATCACCCACGCTTCACACCCATATAAGAGCGTTGGTAAAACTATACTCTCATACATTCCCCTCTTTGCCTCCAAGGACAAAGTTCTTTGTCTCCACAGACTCCTAAGTGCACCACTCACTCTTTTTCCCTCATCAATTCTATGATTCACCTCATCTTTCATAGACCCATCGCTGACACGTCCACTCCCAAATATCTGAATACATTCACTCCTCCATACTCTCTCCCTCCAATCTGATATTCAATCTTTCATCACCTAATCTTTTTGTTATCCTCATAACCTTACTCTTTCCTGTATTCACCTTTAATTTTCTTCTTTTGCACACCCTACCAAATTTATCCACCAATCTCTGCAACTTCTCTTCAGAATCTCTCAAGAGCACAGTGTCATCAGCAAAGAGCAGCTGTGACAACTCCCACTTTGTGTGTGATTCTTTATCTTTTAACTCCACGCCTCTTGCCAAGACCCTCGCATTTACTTCTCTTACAACCCCATCTATAAATATATTAAACAACCACGGTGACATCACACATCCTTGTCTAAGGCCTACTTTTACTGGGAAAAAAATTTCCCTCTTTCCTACATACTCTAACTTGAGCCTCACTATCCTCATAAAAACTCTTCAACTGCTTTCAGTAACCTACCTCCTACACCATACACTTGCAACATCTGCCACATTGCCCCCCTATCTACCCTGTCATACGCCTTTTCCAATCCATAAATGCCACAAAGACCTCTTTAGCCTTATCTAAATACTGTTCACTTATATGTTTCACTGTAAACACCTGGTCCACACACCCCCTACCTTTCCTAAAGCCTCCTTGTTCATCTGCTATCCTATTCTCCGTCTTACTCTTAATTCTTTCAATTATAACTCTACCATACACTTTACCAGGTATACTCAACAGACTTATCCCCCTATAATTTTTGCACTCTCTTTTATCCCCTTTGCCTTTATACAAAGGAACTATGCATGCTCTCTGCCAATCCCTAGGTACCTTACCCTCTTCCATACATTTATTAAATAATTGCACCAACCACTCCAAAACTATATCCCCACCTGCTTTTAATATAATATTATATTGCAGGTGAAGTGATGATAGTTGAGCAGTTATCATGTGATGAGGAACTTTCCAATCCAGTTGAAGAGGAACTTTCCAGTCCAGTTAAAGCAGAACTTTCCAGTCCAGTAAAAGTGGAATTTGATACATTTCTGCAGGACACTGCTCCCACCATCACTGTTTGGACTGGCTTACAGTGCAGCAGTAGTGATGACAACTGATGGTGATGTTTGGACTGGCTTACAGTGCAGCAGTAGTGATGACAACTGATGGTGATGTTGGAAAAGTGAAAATTACAGGAGAAAGCAGACAATTACCCACTCTCTCTCCCTTTCCTGAGGCAGAATGTGAGTTTATAAGAAGAAATTAAAAAAAAATGTCTATGGGTTGGAACAAATTAAAACACAAACCTGTTTTTCCAAATTCTCACGAATGTTAAGAAAAGTCAGCCAATAAAGGTAAGAATTGAATATAATTCTACTGTTATACTATACATCTCTAAATATAGAATTTGTTTTTAGATTCATATTTTAACAGTAAATGGTATGGGAACACCAACAAGGACACAACAGCTTGATAAAGTTCCTGGAGAGCGAAACGTTGCCACAATAAAATGTCACATTAGTTGCACTTGTGTCCTTTTACTTTACAAGTTACAGGCAAAAGCAGCAACTGGAAACTTGATTCTAACACTCTTTGTCAAGTAAAAACCCATTGCAAGTCAAAAATATTATAAGTCGAATATGAATATATGACATGATAAATAAATAAATACATAACTACTGTCACTGAATAAGTAAATGAACAATTACTGTAACTATATACAGATACAGCTTCTCCTCACTTACTGACGTACTCGTTTACCAATGACTGACTTAGGACAGGTTCTCTGACCAGTATGCATACCTAAATAATGTATGTTAGAGCTGATTTCTTCTGTTGTGTTTATTACAAATTAACAGTACACTACTGTATAAACATTTAAAAATATACCAGAAATGTTATCAATGGTGCAAAGATAGTTGACACAAACCCACTACCATTATAATATGCTCCTCACGAGGTCTCAGGAACGGAACTCCGTCCTTAAGTGAGGAGAGGCTGTGCTGAAAAGTAAATAAATGAATGCAAGTTACGGACTTGCTGCCTTAATGCTGGGTAATTATCTTAAGTTTCATCTCCATGGACCATAGTAAAGTCAAATCATCATAAGTCGAACCATCCTAAGTCAAGGAGCGCCTGTATAATAAGAGAAGAAAACATTGTAGTCAGGTGTACACACGAACACTTGCTTATTAAAATCAGAGATAGACAAAATTTGGCACCCTGAGTAGGCACAATTTTGGTGCCTGAAGGACTGGTACCATTATTCTTTAAAATATATGTTCGTTCAACATTCTGCAACCGAGGCAAATAAAACTGATTGTTTTTTAGTGCTAATAAAAGGTAGAGTACGTAGTAGACCATTTTTTTTATGCGTCTAAGCACTGCACGACCAATACAGTGAGATTTAAATTTTGTTCTATTTCCTAATTTCATGCTGTTAGTATGTTGATCACAGGGCTGGATTAAGGCATGGGATTTAGGGCCTCCCAGCACCTGTAGCCCAGGGGCCTCACAGCACCTGTAGCCCAGGGGCCTCACAGCACCTGTAGCCCAGGAGCCTCACAGCACCTGTAGCCCAGGGGCCTCACAGCACCTGTAGCCCAGGGGCCTCACAGCACCTGTAGCCCAGGGGCCTCACAGCACCTGTAGCCCAGGGGCCTCACAGCACCTGTAGCCCAGGAGCCTCACAGCACCTGTAGCCCAGGGGCCTCACAGCACCTGTAGCCCAGGGGCCTCACAGCACCTGTAGCCCAGGGGCCTCACAGCACCTGTAGCCCAGGGGCCTCACAGCACCTGTAGCCCAGGGGCCTCACAGCACCTGTAGCCCAGGGGCCTCACAGCACCTGTAGCCCAGGGGCCTCACAGCACCTGTAGCCCAGGGGCCTCACAGCACCTGTAGCCCAGGGGCCTCACAGCACCTGTAGCCCAGGGGCCTCACAGCACCTGTAGCCCAGGGGCCTCACAGCACCTGTAGCCCAGGGGCCTCACAGCACCTGTAGCCCAGGGGCCTCACAGCACCTGTAGCCCAGGAGCCTCACAGCACCTGTAGCCCAGGGGCCTCACAGCACCTGTAGCCCAGGGGCCTCACAGCACCTGTAGCCCAGGAGCCTCACAGCACCTGTAGCCCAGGGGCCTCACAGCACCTGTAGCCCAGGGGCCTCACAGCACTGTAGCCCAGGGGCCTCACAGCACCTGTAGCCCAGGGGCCTCACAGCACCTGTAGCCCAGGGGCCTCACAGCACCTGTAGCCCAGGGGCCTCACAGCACCTGTAGCCCAGGGGCCTCACAGCACCTGTAGCCCAGGGGCCTCACAGCACCTGTAGCCCAGGGGCCTCACAGCACCTGTAGCCCAGGGGCCTCACAGCACCTGTAGCCCAGGGGCCTCACAGCACCTGTAGCCCAGGGGCCTCACAGCACCTGTAGCCCAGGAGCCTCACAGCACCTGTAGCCCAGGGGCCTACAAAATCTTAATCCAGCTCTGGCTGATTGGTCCATTTTCAGTTGCTAAACTAAAAAAAATTGTTTTGTTCTTGGTTATTTTTTTAACATATATGCATACTGTGTATGCATATTTTATGGATCTCATTTTTTTGGTAAAGACAGTTGTTACGGTTCGAATTTAATCTTTAGCCAGGTTAGTGCACTCCGTAACAACACACTTCATAGAATGAGAGGATATGGTTCCAAACTTAGAAATGTAAGGAACGAATAATAGTTACTCAGTCTTTTCTGGTTTCTTTTTATTTAAAAGTTTAAATACTTTAGATATTCATAAATATCTATTAAATTATTAAATATCACTGTCAGAAACTTTCCTTCACACAAGAAAACTCTTAAATAGAATGTACATCATAGACCTCCTCTGGAGACTATCTATATGGTCACTACACTTGATAATGATCAGAGGAATATTATCGCTTCCTCAATAGTAACATTACTTGTGTGTAAGTACATATATTGAGAATTAACACATTCACTGAGTAACTCCCTGGCATAAGGAATATATCACAAAGTTCTAAGCTTGACACTGGTCGTCACATCGTAACCTGAAGGTAACAGTATATAATTGTCCGCAGACTTCACTTCACAATAAACCACAAGCTGGTTCAGGAGTTTCTATAACAATTCTCTATCCAAGTGAGAATAAGGCGGAGTACTAGGAGGGTAGCTCAGTCAATGCACACTGAGTCGGCAGAGAGAGTGAACTCCATATACAGTGGACCCCCGGTTAACGATATTTCTTCACTCCAGAAGTATGTTCAAGTGCCAGTACTGACCGAATTTATTCCCATTAGGAATATTGTGAAGTAGATTAGTCCATTTCAGACCCCCAAACATACACGTACAAACGCACTTACATAAATACACTTACATAATTGGTCGCATTTGGAGGTGATCGTTATGCGGGGGTCCACTGTATAGTCAATCCCTTCATGACATCAACTCGTCAAAAGGGGGAGAGGGTAGAGCGGTGCGAACTACCCACCAATGGACATACCTTGTTATAAACCATAGCCAGGTGTACCTACCTAACACATTACTCAAAATATATATATATACATCATACCCGGGTATATTCCTAAATCAGATAATATAAACTAGTGGAATCTTTAATTTAGCTAATATTAAAGAAACCCCGAGTATAATATTAAGTGGATAACACATAAATTAATCCCATTATGACCTTGGTCATAACAGTCAAGAACTACATATTAAATATTTTTACAAATTAATTTTTCCTCCATTTTTTAACTAAATGCATTGTAATAATGTTGGTAGAATTACCGACAATATGTAAAGTAAAAGGACACAAGTGCAACTAATGTGACATTTTATTGTGGCAACGTTTCACTCTCCAGGAGCTTTATCAAGCTTTGTAACGATTTGACAAAGTTCCTGGAGAGCGAAACGTTGCCACAATAAAATGTTACATTAGTTGCACTTGTGTCCTTTTACTTTACAACTACATAAATGCATTAATTCATACTGGTGTATGATCATTGTATGCATGCATTGAGAACTTATTTAGTAAAGATTGGTTTAGAAAACCACAGATTTAACCCGTAAACGGTCCAAACGTATATTTACGTTTTTTTCAACATTTGAAAGTACAGTGGTCCCTCGTTTCTCGTAATTAATCCGTTCCTGGAGCTGTTACTATAAACAAAATTTACGATTTGCGAATCAATTTTCCCCATAAGAAATAATGTAAATACAATTAATCCGTTCCTGACACCCAGAAGTATTAAAACAAAAAATTTTTTTTACATGAAATATAGATGTAGTACATAAACAATACAATGGGAAATGATGAATGAAACATTAACAGCATAACACTTACCTTTATTGGAGATTCTTCTTAGTGTATGGGAGACTGGAGGAGGAGAGAGAGTGGATTGTTTATAGTTTGGAAGGGGAATCCCCTTCCAGCAACACCTCAGGTACCAATTGCTTTTCTGGGGTTGCTTCTCTTCTCTGTTTCTTAATGCCACTAGGACCACCTTGAGAGTCACTAGTCCTGTCTCGCAAAGTAACTGTGGAGAGAGCTCTGTTTCTGGCGTCTCTTTAACACTTCCCTAAAATGGCCCAAGACTTTGTCACTGTACATATTTCTCACCTTCTTTACCACAGGCTTGGCACTAGGAGCTTTCTTTGGAGCCATGGTAGCTTATTTAGTACAGTGGACCCCCGCTTAACGATCACCTCCAAATGCGACCAATTATGTAAGTGTATTTATGTAAGTGCTTTTGTACGTGTATGTTTGGGGGTCTGAAATGGACTAATCTACTTCACAATATTCCTTATGGGAAAAAATTCGGTCAGTACTGGCACCTGAACATACTACTGGAATGAAAAAAGTTCGTTAACCGGGGGTCCACTGTACTTGCAAGCACTAAAATGAGTGGAATATTATGAAATATTTCGTAGGAGCACTTGAGGGGACCTTCACTCACTGGTAAACAATGCCAGACTGGCTGGGTAGGGAGGCCTCCCCGGCTCACACCGTGCGTACGTGTCCCGGACGAACTACTATTTACGAGTCAACCTTTGAAAAGCGAGTTCTTGTTTTACGAAAATACCCTATGATTGGCGAAATTTACGATTGCCGAGAACTACAAAAAGCAAGGGACCACTGTATGTAAAAAAAAGTAGATCTTTTTATTTTTTTTTTACATTTGAAAATATGTAAAAAAAACTTAGATCTACTTTTGTAGCACTACACATGTGAACGTAGATCTGCTTGGACCGTTTACGGGTTAATGGATGACAATCATGAGGAACGCTTTTTCAATCAACAGGCACCTAAAGTCAGTACCTGACCAGCCGGGCTGTGGTTCGCACGTTGGATTATGTGCGGCTAGCAGTAACAGCCTGGTTGATCAGGTCCTGATCCACCATGAGGCCTGGTCACAGAACAGGCCGTGGGGGGCGTTGACCCATGGAACTCACTCCAGGTATACTCCAGGTATACCCTTAATGTTCAGAATAAAAAATCTTTGTTACCACTGGTAGATGAATTAAATGTCTTTAATTAAATTTTTTAGTCTTTGTTCATTTACAGTAGAACCCACTGATTTGGAACCTGTAGTTTCAGTTATCCATGGTTTACTGTGGCCCAAGAATACCTCTTAATTTTGCATACTAATGATCCCAAAGAACAAAAGTAGAGAAGCCGGTTGTTCTTCAAAGTCTAAGAGAAGCCATGAAATGTTTCCCATCAGTTAAAAAGTGATAATTCTCCACTTATTGTGAATAATTTATCAATTAAACTTTATAATAAGCATGTATAGGACTTATATATAGGGTTTGCTACTATCCACTGCTTTGGTATCCCTGGCAGGTACTTGGAACATATCCCTGCAGATGTGTTTACATTTTGATTTGTGTTTAGGAATTGTATACAGGTTCACTACAAATTAAAGGTTTAATTTCTGTAAAAATTATAGTCACTGATTGGTCTATGTCCATTTTATGGTGAATTTCATAATTAAAGATGACTTTTCATTTTGCGACTCTTATGGCTGCTGGAAAGTGGGAGGCATTCAGGTTTGATCCTAGAAGGGGAGGTTAGATCCAGGTTTTTGGATCAAGAGCCTCTCACTGGCATCTAGGCATCTCCATTTAAGGGCTAAAGGAAACAGTGAGGGCTTGCCTTCACATACCATAGTATACAATTAACCCGTAAACGGTCCAAGCAGATCTACATTCACATGCGTAGTGTTCCAAAAAGTAGATCTATGTTTTTTTAAATATTTTCAAATATAAAAAAAAAAAACGTAGATCAAAGTTTTTTTTACACGCTTTCAAATGTAAAAAAAAAAAAATATACTTGTTTTACATACTTTGAAATGTTGAAAAAACGTATATATATGTTTGGACCGTTTACGGGTTAACATACATTTGATTAAAGTCATTATTGCTGTGTAAATAATATGGTGTATTCATGTACTTAGTTTTCCTTCTGTATAATTTGCTGAATGTAAAAGAAAATATTTACGTTCCTTCTTTTTCAGGTTGCCGTGCCTTGGTGGGAGACGACCCTTGTGTTAAAAAATTTACTCGATTTATAATCTGATGTATATATAAACCCTTTTCTTTATAGCAGATATTTGCAGTGTTTACCTGCAAAATCCCCGCTAAAGGTACCACAATATACTAATGTATAAACCCTTTTCTTTATAGTGGATAACGCAGTTTTCCCTGCAAAATCCCTGCTCCAGGCACCACAAGTCATCAAACAACACATCAAATTCCTTGCAGTCTCCAAGTGGGGCTGAGATTTTCTATCGCCCTGTAGTTTGGCCCATGTATGAACCAGGTCATGAGTGGGTCCCAACTTCTACATCATTCTACATCTGACTCTTAGCTCTACAATGCCTCTCAGGAGTTGCAAAATATTTATTTTACTCTGCAAAGGGTACTCGGATATATGGTAATCCTCAAGTTGGTCTCAGTAACTGTGAACCTTTGAACAAGTCATGGTGGATATTAACAAGCAGATGAGAGAGGATACAGGTGCTCCTCAACTTACAATGGTTTAACTTAGGGTATTTCAACTTTACGATGGTGCGAAAGCAATAACTTTGGAGACGGAACTTAAGATAATTTCCCAGTATGAAGGCGGCAAGTCCCTAACTTGTATTCATTTACATGTATTTACTTTTCAAAACTGGTATTTAGTTGCAGTAATTATTTATTTACTTATTCATTGACAGTAGTTATTTAGTTGATTACTTAGCATATATTCATATTAAACTTCCAATGGGTTCATTGGAGCATAACCCCTTTGTAAGTTGAAGAACACCTGTATTTTTTTTTTCAACACAGGTAAGGTGACCTAAATAAGAAGTACTTTCACCATCACTCACTCCATGTCTTGCCAGAGGCATACTGGTACTTCAGTTCTAAACTGCAAATATCAATGCCCCTCCTTCAGAGTGCCAGCACTGTACTTCCCACCTCCGGGACTCGAGTCTGGCTTGCTAGTTTCCCTGAATCCCTTCATAAATGTTACAATTATTATCAGATCATTAATTTCTAAAGAGTAAAAATTCTGTTTCATACATTTTTTTTTGTAAATGGTATTAATAAAGAAGGTAAGTATTCTCTATGATATAGTAAGAGTCATCATTACAATATTAGCCCTTAAACTGTCCAAACGTAGATCTACGTTCATGTGTGTAGCGCTCTGACCTTTATTTTCTCCATTTGAAAGCATGTAAAAAAAAAACAGATCTACATTCGGAGCTCTACGTAGCTGAACGTAGATCTACATTAGGACAGTTTATGGGTTAAGAGAGACCTCTGAGCATATGCTGCCTGTCGCTTGTTCAACCCTCTTTCCTGTTTCCTTTACTCCTAAATCAATTGATGAGCTAGGATGTCTAGAAGCATACGTATATTTTGTATTTTCCATCACATAAGGTGTCTTTTTTTTCTCCACAAAAAGTCTTGAAAAATCAGCCTACACCTTGTATGCTCAAGGTCAGAGTCAAGGGCAGGTTTTGGGTTACGCTTTAGCGTAAAGTAAGAGGGTAATTAGCCCTTGATATTATGATTTACCATTATGATACTTCTGTCGTGTCCTTATATACCGGAAAATATGGTACTTATTGAGGGCTCTAATGATTCTCATTACTTTTATGGCACAACATGGCATTTTTAGTTATTAGCATTGAAAATGTTTACTGTACAATATTCATCTAGTCCATCAGTATATATATTCTTCTATGCTTTTATATAAATAAAAAATGTACAACTTGCAGTTATTTTCCCTTCATATAAATAGGATCTCAGTTTTTATGATTTGGCAGCATATAACAGTGTAAAGCACGTCTGTAGTCTAAGATCTGAGAACTTAAGATTTTTTTTTTTTTTTTCAACGAGCCGGCCGTCTCCCACCGAGGCAGGGTGACCCAAAAAAAAAAAAAAAAAGAAAATCCCCAAAAAGAAAATACTTTCATCATCATTCAACACTTTCACCACACTCACACATTATCACTGCTTTTGCAGAGGTGCTCAGAATACAACAGTTTAGAAGCATATACGTATAGAGATACACAACATATCCCTCCAAACAATTTATAGAGGAGAAGGGGTTACTAGCCCCTTGCTCCTGGCATTTTAGTTGCCTCTTATGACATACATGACTTACGGAGGAAGAATTCTGTTCCACTTCCCCATGGACATGAAAGATGTTAATAAAATATAATTGGATGTGGAAAGACAGTGGCATGAATCTACCTGCTATGTCTTTCACCACCTGTGTTGTCACTCCAAGTGTGTAATGTTGTCACTCCAGATGTGTAATGTAAGCAGTTAGTTGATAAATAAGGGAAGATATTTCAAGCCTTTATTAAGAATGACTTCTCTGAACAAAACGTCATTTCAGTGGACCCCTGGTTTGCGATATTAATCCGTTCCTGAGAGCTCATTGTAAACCAAAATTATCAAAAAGCGAATCAATTTTCCCCATAAGAAGTAATGGAAATCAAATTAATCCATGCAAGACACCCAAAAGAATGAAAAAAAATTTTTTACCGCATGAAATATTAAGTTTAATGCACACAAACTGAAGAAGACATGCACAGTTTGTAGTACTCCACTAACAATAGAATACTTATCTTTAACCCTTTGACTGTCGCGGCCGTATATATACGTTTGCGAGGTACCGTGTTTGACGTATATATACTCATAAATTCTAGCGGCTTCAAATCAGGCAGGAGAAAGCTAGTAGGCCCACATGTGAGAGAATGGGTCTGTGTGGTCAGTGTGCACCACATAAAAAAAATCCTGGAGCACGCAGTGCATAATGAGAAAAAAAAAACTCCGACCGTTTTTTTTAATTAAAATGCCGACTTTGTGGTCTATTTTCGTATAGTATTTGTGGTTGTATTCTCGTTTTCTTGGTCTCATTTGATAGAATGGAAACTATATTATAGAAATGGAGGTTTTTTTGATTAATTTACTATAAAAAAAACCGGGAAAAATGGCACAAAGTACGGGAAAATGTTTGATTTTTGCCGATGTTCAAAAGTAAACAAATGATGTCATTGTCCAAAAAATTGTCCAAATAGCCATTCTAATCGCAGCATGAATGGGTTGATGTAATTTTTACAATTATTACAGTATTGCAGTAGTCTGAATAAAAGTAAATCTTCTATTTTTGTTTGAAAAAATTTCAAAAAAAAAAGCAAGAGTAATATCCCAGGGACCTGGAGACATGACTGATGAACAAAGAAAATGTTATTTTAGAGCCGGGAAATGTCTGATTGTTCATTCTGGACCTTATTTTGAAATTGTCGTATTTTTTATTTTCGTGAAATTGGCCAAATTGCAAATTTCTAAACCATGTTATTGGGTAGTTGAAATCGGTAAATGGGCAGTTTCTTGTACTCAATCGATAGAAAAAACAGAGTTCTGAAGAAAATAGTTATGAGTTTGGTTGACTGGAATAACGGAATTAGCCGAAAATAGGGCTCAAAGTGGGCGAAAATTGCCGATTTTTAAATTGGGCCGAAGTCGCTAACTTCGCGAGGAGCGTAATTCCGTCATTTTCCATCAAATTTCGTTTTTTTGGTTGTCCTTTACAATGGGAAAAAGATTCTCTATCATTTCATAAGAAAAAATAATTTTTTTTTTTTTTTCGAATATTTGCGACACCAGAAGAAACTTCAGGATTTGGCCCTTCGACAGTCAAAGGGTTAATGAAGATCTGGTGATGATTGATGGGATGGGAGGAGGGGGAATGTCGAACTTATTGTTTAGAAGGGAACCCCTTCCCTAGGACTTGAGGTAGCAAGTCCTTTTCTGGGGTTACTTTTCCTCCTCCTTTTTATCCCACTAGGACCAGCTTGAGAGTCACTGGACCTCTGTCACACAACAAATCTGTCCATAGAGTTCTGTACCTCCCGTTCCTTTATATTTGTCTAAATGGGCCACAACATTGTATTGTAATAGTCATCAGCACGGCTTGCAATAGCTGTGTAGGGTGATTTTCATCCATAAAGGTTTGCAGTTCAACCCACTTTAAACACACATTTCCTTAATTTTTGAAGTAGGCACAATGAATTCCACAACTGGCATAGGCTTCTCAGGGTTAACATCAAACCCTTCAAAATCTTATTTAAATTTCCCATACAATTCTCACCCTTTTTTACCACAGGGTTGGCACTAAAAACTTTCTTGGGATCCATGGTGGACTTATTTTGCAGAAACAAGCCCCAAAAAAACACTGAAAATATGGAATGTACGAATGTATCCTTAGATGCGAGCACACTGGTGGCTTGAAAAACCCACTGGCACGCACGGCCAACCCGTGGCACGTCTCAACGAATCGTCGTAAAACTGGGTTTTTTAACGGGAACCAAGGCAAAATTTTTGCATTAAAATGTATCAATACAGTGGAACTCAAAATCATCAAACTTTTCTTTGTTCCAGAAGGCTGTTCGAGGCCACTACCCAACAAATTTTATTCCTATCAGGAATAATGTAAATTAGAACCATTTAAGACCCTCAAAAATACACTTATAAAGCACTTACAAAAATTTACACTTACATAATTGGTTGAGTTGGGAAGCAGTTCGATTTTTTGAGGTTCCACTTTTACTGGATTTATCGGATACCGATCCATCGCAAACCGGGGGCCCACTGTATTATTAAAAGGTATTTTTAAGATTTTACCGGGCTTCCAACCTGAGTTTCTTGGCTGAATCCCAAAGTCCAAAGAAAAGCAAGATTTGTTTTTGAAATACGTACTAAACCCCAGCGAGAATAATTACACTGGGTTTCCCCTTTTAGGTTTTTGGCTATTCCGTCTTTCAGCAGAGACTAGTGTAATATTATTATTATGCTGTATGACAGTGCCTAGAGGAATGGAAGGCATTTAAGGAAATAGAGCACAGGTCCAATGTCTTAGATCAAGAGCCGCTCACTAGAGTCAAGGAACCTGCCTTGGGGAGGGAATAGTGTAGCTAACATACTAACATAGGTTGTATAGTGTGTTCACTGGCCTCTTGATGCCATGAACACCCCCCATCCCCACAGGTGCTGCATAATCCTATGGACATTAAAATGGTATAAAATACCGACAGGTTGTTAGGTAAGACACATATGCAACAGTTAGGTATCTTTATTGTGAAACGTTTCGCCTACACAGTAGGCTTCTTCAGTCAAGTACAGAAAAGTTGATAGAAGCAGAAGATACTTGAAGACGATGTAATCAGTCCATCACCCTTAAAGTTTTGAGGTGGTCAGTCCCTCAGTCTGGAGAAGAGCATTGTTCCCATAGTATGAAACAATATTGTTTCATACTATGGAACAATGCTCTTCTCCAGACTGAGGGACTGACCACCTCAAAACTTTAAGGGTGATGGACTGATTACATCGTCTTCAAGTATCTTCTGCTTCTATCAACTTTTCTGTACTTGACTGAAGAAGCCTACTGTGTAGGCGAAACGTTTCACAATAAAGATACCTAACTGTTGCATATGTGTCTTACCTAACATAATCCTATGGGTTTAGTGCCCCTCCTTGATTATAATAATAAGACAATTAGAATGGTTCTGTAGGTCTGTCATTTAATAATAATTTTTATTTCTACAAGTACATGACACAACTTATACAGACCATAGCTGATATCAGTGACATACTATACAGAAAGTCACTGGTTATGCAGAGCATTTCATGCAACTTAGGTTAATTGTCCCTAGGATGCCACCCACAACAGTTAACTAACACCCAGATACATACTGCTAGGTGAACAGTGACACTGTCTCCACCCATGCCCAGGACTGAACCATGGGCATTCATTGTATGATGTGAGATCATTTCCAACCAACCCAAACAGTTGGCCTGCTAATAAAAATACATTGAACTCACAGTGCAACCTGACAGGCCTTACAGATCAGTGCCAGGCATTTTTCCACGAGTGAGGAGCATGTGGCTGATACGTAGATGGATGACAGCAGTCTTTAAGAACATAAGAACATAAGAAACAAGGAACTCTGCAGCAGGCCTACTGGCCCATGAAAGGGCAGGTCCAAGTCTCCAACCTAGTCAGGTCGGGGTCAAAATTCACCTATGGAAGGAGCACAGCATTTGACCTAGTAGCACAAGCTAGTCAGGTTCCCAGCTCACACCCACCCACACCCATTCATGTATTTATCTAACCTATTTTTAAACTTCCCTATATTCTCCCGAATCTGAATTTTTCCAGCTTAAAGCCATTGCTGCGAGTCCTGTCTAGGCTAGATATTTTTTAGCACGCTATTACATCCCCTTTATTTTATTCCTGTCTTCCATTTATACACTTCATTCTATCCAAAAAACAAATGTGGTTTGACAGAATTTTTTTTTTTTGTGGCCACCAGTTGTAGAGTTGTCAAGAGATCGCTGAAATGCTCTGCATAACCATTGGCTTCCTACACACAACCAAATGTCACCCATCTCTGGCGCAACATTGTATTATGTGGAAATAAACCTCTAAATGATAACCTCAGTAAAATACAAAATGTGGAAAAATTTGGAACGACCGAGTTTATTTGTTTATTACCCCAAAATCAATGTGTCCAGCAACCCCG